GTCAAAAAAAAAAAAAAAATCACACTGTTGAATAACAAAGTTGATCCCCCTCACACAACCTTTAACAGACAATCACCAGTTCTCTGCCGCTAAATACTAACCCTAACTGCCAATATAATGCTAACCCTAACTGCAAATATAAAGCGCCCACATACCACAAAATTGGAAAATACAGATTCCAGGCATGTCTGATATAATAGTTCTTGTGTGGTCTTAAGTTTTCTGAACAAATTTCCATGTGAAAGTGGAGAGGTCTGAATAAATAAAGACTGGGAAAATTTGGGAAGCTTATGTGATTACAAGTATATTTTGATATAACTTAAAAACTGGGATTTTAGCAAAATTGTTTCATTATACTCCCACTCAAGTTCAAACAGTGTTTCCACTTCCGAAGTGGTAGTGATTTATTTGATCGATAAACATTCGGCACGAGGTTCGAGAGAAGACGGAACTATCACAATGAATAGCATAATGTTTAATTATGTAAATGGAAAATTTCGGGCGCGCTAAGTGCACCTCAGTAGAACCAATAACTGAACTAGGCCTAATATTATTGAGGACTTCTATGATTAAAATTAATTAACCTTGAGCAGGTAGACTTTGCAAGTACATCAAACAGTCTTAAGATGTATATAACTGTATAAACTGATTTAATAACGATTATCCAGCAAGCCTTATCCCAAGGGCGTTACAACCAAGAACATTTCCGTATTTTGATTGATAACTAGTTTGTATAGAATTTCAGTCTAACCTAGGGCACATTTTATTTTCGCTTATTACTGCAAATGTGATATTTCAACCATAAAGGCCCACGAATATTTGTTGGGTAATTCACCCGAACATCTTATGTCCTCTATGACCTAAACGGCCAGGTCAGAAGGTCAGTGTCCTCTCACGGTCCAGACATAGCCGTCCCTAATTTTGAACTGCAGATCAGAGGAAAGGCGACCAATTGGCAGCATCCGCCGCCTGAAACGTCGACTCTTAAAAGGATAGCAGAACTGACTGTCACTCTTCTAACGAACAGCTTAAAGTGCAAAGTTATATCAAGTCTCGAACCTTTCTCTTTATGTCAGACGTACTTTTAATGTTTTCATTGTGTTTCAATAATTAACCGATTAATATACTTTATATTTGTAATATGGTGGCTCCATCTCTTGGATTGTTTTAAAATCAAACCCTGCAAATTTTTGACTGAACATGTATGTAGGTGGCAAATGATAAAGCACCCTCGTGATCTCTTTTTTAAAAAGTGTAAAGGATGTACTTATTAGCTGGGTTTGACACAAAAACGTGTCAAATATCAAGACATATTCTATGTGTGATCAGAAATAGGCTTTGGTGAGGATACACACTACACCTGCCAACTCTTGGGCTACTCTTTTACGAACGAATAGTGGGATTGACCGTCACATTATAACGCCACCACGGCTGAAAGGGCGAGCATGTTTGGTGTGACGGGGATTCGAACCCGCGACCCTCAGATTGCGAGTCGAGCACCTTAACCACTTGGCCATGCCGGGCGTCAATTCACGGTAGACGAGAGTAAATACCAAATACAGTGTACAGGGATACACAAAGAAAACTGTAGATATGCATTTCAGAGGTTCTACGGGTTAAGGAAATTCAATACTCAAGCTGTATTTTTATTCTGCACGTGAACATCACCTTGCACTCCGACTTGTCAGAGCCCGAGTCAGATCGACGTCGTCAATTCACACACGTATCTTATGTACAAATACGTTTGTAACTCACCTGATTTTTTTCGTACAACAGACTTGTACGTTTTACTAAAAGTTTGTCGTATTTAGTATAGGTACATGTAATATATTTGGAACATAGTCAATATTTCTTCTCCAATACGGGATTGGGCCTTTCAGTATATCCCGTTAGTGACAGCAGCTGTCCATAATTTTACACAAGTTTTCTAGAATCTTACTCTTAAATTCTGAAATCAGTGTTTATGTTAGTTATTTTTCTTATTTTACTTTTTTACACAATAGCACGGTGTAGTAGAATGTTAACAGACAAAAATAGGATAAATTAAACTCAATTGTGATTAAATAGTTATATATATTGCTATATGGTATTGTAACGTTTTGATGACCAATTGAGGAGATATTTAAGTTACCATTTCAATGAACAATCCGAGCCACCCCTACATAGGCAGTGCTATCGCCTGCCTGAAAAATAAAATATCTTTAAAAAACGTTTCAGGAATTTTTGGTAAGCAGTCCAATTTGGTCAAAAAAACAAAAAAAACACCTTAACCTGTCGTATGAGAACATCACACAACAATTTGTTTTTATTTTCGTGTAAACGAACTTTTTTTATGGCGAAACGGTCAGTTTAACAAAAATTGGCGAAAGGCAAAAAATACTTTTTGTTTTAAAAATGCCCTCAGAAGTATCTTTAGTAACTAACTAATAACAAAAAGTTTTTAAACTTCCATCATAATATCAAGTAACTGAAGTTTCTATTGTACACTTTCCAATAAAACGCCTCCTTGCGGAATTTCTAGTGACTGACTAATAAAGTGTTTAAATTTTCAGCACAACAGTAACTCACAAATTTTCAGCGGACATCTTTTAATAAATCGCCCCCTCACGGAAGTTCTTATCAGTAACTAGTAAAATGTTTTAAACTGCAGCATAATACTAACTCACAAAAGTTAATGGAGACATCTTCCAATATGGCGCTCCCTAGCGGAATTTCTAGTAAGTGACTAATAAAGTGTTTAAAATTCTGGCAAAACAGTAACTCACAAAAGTTAATGGACACATCTTCCAATATGGCGCTTCCTAGTGGAATTTCTAGTGAGTGACTAATAAAATGTTTCAAATTCTGGCAAAACAGTAACTCACAAAAGTTAATGGACACATCTTCCAATATGGCGCTCGCTAGCGGAATTTCTAGTGAGTGACTAATAGAATGTTTAAAATTCTGGCAAAATAATAACTCTCAGAAGTTATTGGTGGACATCTTTTGACTTAATTTCAAGTAATTATGTGGAAAGTAACTAACGAGTGGATCAGAAAATAAGGCTTCAGAAACCTATATTGTTAAACAACAACGGACAGACAGACTGTTCTTTTCTTTCTGATTTACACGTCAGCCGTTGGTACTTAAATTATATTTCTGTGCCGAGGAAGAAAAACATAACAATAACAGCAACAAAAAATGACAAAGTACCTCATACATATAGCAGATCTTACACTTATGGCTGATATAAAAAAAAACAGACGTGTACAAGGAACCTTAATGCTCAATTCACGTGCGCAAAAATGCGTCCGCCTCTTCTGCAGAAAATAGCTGGCGCACGCGCCATCGCGCTAGAGTGGAGTGCGTACTTGTATCAAGCCACTTTGGTTTATGACCCAGCAACGAATCGTCAGAAGCGGACAAGTTTTTTGTTGTTGTTTTTTCTCACTGATAGTCCTAACGAAATCTTTTAGACTACAGCTAAGCACGGTGATGTTGATACTATATAATGTACCCAAGATTGCTGAATATATATATTCTATCATTACTAATATCACCGTCAGGAGGGACGTAATAATTGAAAATGATGGTTGTAACACTGACCAGACCCTTCCATGGAACTCATTTTCCAGGGAACCTTGCAAACGCATCCCATGATCCCTTACGCACATATCTGTTTGTTTGTTTGTAGTTAAGCACAAAGCCGAACAATGGGCTATATCCGTGCTCTGCCCACCACAGGTACCGAAAGCCGGTTTCTAGCGTTGTAAATCCGCAGACATGCCGCCGTGCTACTAGGGGGGCGGGGGGCTTCCGCATGTACTTAAAAACATTTCTTAAACAGTGTTCAAAGTGAATGTTCTAGGATTTGTTTCTACCATAAAATGTTCAACAAAAAAGGGGTATATCATGAATGACAGACCTTCTCCAAATTAAACTCGCTGTTACAAGACAAAACTGAATATGTTTTACACTACGTTGTGTATGTGTAATTTTTTTATACTTTCGTATTCAAATATTATCCGTTTGTTTGTTGAAAAGTTACTCGAGGGCTATCTGCACTAATTTAGAGGTGATAGACTAAAGAGAAGACACCGACATCTTGAGTTACTCTTGATCTAACAGTACGATCTGGTACTCACTATTACAGCGAACCAACGGCTTCAATATGAGAAATGTGTTTTGCGATCAGGGGGTTCGCGAACCATCAAAAAAATAATAAAAAATTTCAAGTAATCTTATAATGCGATACACAGAAGTTAAAATTAGAGAAACATTTTATTGACGTAGTAATTTTTTTAAATGTTCACAGAACTAATGATAGAGGAATAAACAGCTAAATAAAATAATGCGATAAATAGAGAAAAGGAAAAAAGAGCTAAATTACTTGAAACTCTGCAAATAAATGTTGTTCGTTTTTTACAGACAAACGTGTAGTTTTAGAGATGCCAAACTAGAAACGTTTACAGAACAGCGGTCAATGTCAAACTAGAAACACTTCCTGATCAGCAGTCAATGTCAAACTAGAAACATTTACAGAGCAGTAGTCAATGCCAAACTAGAAACGTTTACAGAACAGCGGTCAATGTCAAACTAGAAACGTTTACAGAGCAGCAGTCAATGTCAAACTAGAAACACTTACAGAGCGGCGGTCAATGTCAAACTAGAAACGTTTACAGAGCAGCAGTCAATGTCAAACTAGAAACACTTACAGAGCAGCAGTCAATGCCAAACTAGAAACGTTTACAGAGCAACAGTCAATGCCAAACTAGAAACACTTCCAGAGCAGCAGTCAATGTCAAACTAGAAACACTTACAGAGCAGCAGTCAATGCCAAACTAGAAACGTTTACAGAGCAGTAGCAACGCGAAGTCGTTTAATAATGAAACAAACGAAAATCATTTGGAAACAACATAATAAAAGAAGCGCTCTAGATCTTATTTCAAACAACGTATGACATATAAGAGTAACAGAGGAAGTTAATGACGTCAATAATACTGATCAGTGAAATCTCTTACCTCTGAAGACGTCAGATAGATTCGAGAATCGGCACTTTCTAATGAGGGTTGTCCATAAAAAGAAGGGCTGGGATCTCTGGTTCCTGCAGCCGAGGAGTCTGCTACAGACATGCTACTGGTTAGGCTTAACTGCCGATTTGAATTTTGATGAGGTAGGGGTAAAGTGTGGGATTTGCCGCCAGATGTCCCTCCTATAAAACACAAACTATTTAGTTATGAAAAAGTGGGAGCAGATGACATACAAACATGAACGATTGGCTGCCAACTAGACACGTCTTTGTCTAGAAAACAGCACAACTGATTAAATATTATATTTACAAATATACTTTTTTTTTTGTAGTCTGTATACTTGTCGATAATGTTAACATCCCATGAAACTAAACTATTTATTTCGTTATAGCGAAACTAAAATTCAACCTGATCATCAGTATAGGTAATTATATGTAGTTTTTTTTTGTAAGTTTCTACTTATAAAGATCAGAACACACTGTTTCATTACTTGGATGCGCCAGCTGTTAACGGTATTTTCGGCCATAAGCCCAATAAGTCAATTCTAACTGCAAATTTGAAGTTTGCCAAGAAAGTGCTCTTTCCTTTTGAAAAAAAAACAAAACAAACTCTACAAGTAATTTAGGCACTTTTATCACGACGTCACGGGCTTTGCTGTTCCACCGAAACGAGGGTTTGTACAGTGCCCATTGTCCTATTACGTTTCGGCTAATTCCATAATGTTTTTATTATACTGACAAACGCTTTATGAAAAGTTTTATTATACTGACAAACGCTTTACATAATGTTTTTATTATACTGACAAATGCTTTACATAATGTTTTTATTATACTGACAAACGCTTAACATAATGTTTTTATTATACCGACAAACGCTTTACATAATGTTTTTATTATACTGACAAACGCTTTACATAATGTTTTTATTATACTGACAAACGCTTTACATAATGTTTTTATTATACTGACAAACGCTTAACATAATGTTTTTATTATACTGACAAACGCTTTATGAAAAGTTTTATTACCACCATTACAGTTTACAATGTTGTATCTCATCCAATAAAATATTTTAAATAATTTATTAACAACAATTTTTTTTTTATGTTGGCTAAATGGGTGGGGTCTTGGGATGTTTATTCGAGTAAACACTTGACTCCATAAGAAGTAGATGAAAACGCCTAGACAGAAAACGTTACCAAGACATTCATAGTTGTCTAATAAGTTCAACATCAGGTTACACTTTAAACACTTTGAAGGCTTACACTAGGACTAGATACCTACTTAATGACTGTTTTTACACGAATTTGACACTAGGGGTGAAAAGTAATTTTATTATTAAAATAACAGTAACTACAGCAAGTCAAAGCTCGCTAGGCCTAACTGTATTATTTTCTTTTTTTTACCAGACTCACTGCTATACATGAATTTGAAACTAGGGGTGAAATGTAATTTCTTTATAAAAATAACAGTAATAACTACAGCAAGTCAAAGCTCGCTAGGCTTTTTCTTTTTTACCAGACTCACTGCTATACATGAATTTGACACTAGGGGTGAAATGTAATTTCTTTATAAAAATAACAGTAATAACTACAGCAAGTCAAAGCTCGCTAGGCCTAACTGTATTTTTCTTTTTTTACCAGACTCACTGCTATACATGAATTTGGCACTAGGGGTAAAAAGTAATTTCCTTGTAAAAATAACAGTAGTAACTACAACAAGTCAAAGCTCGCTAGGCCTAACTGTATTTTTTCTTGTTTTAACCAGACTCACTGCTATACATGAATTTGACACTAGGGGTACAAATTTATAAACACATTGTAATCGTTACTCATTGGCCCTCGGCTACAAATAACTGGAAACTTTAAGTTTTGTTGCAGAATTAAATAGTTTAATCCTAAAGTTAAGTCAGCAAATATATTATGTTTACTCGTCCCATAGTTCTTTTTTTCTCTCCCTCTCTTTTCGTTCAGATTTTCAAAACAGCTGAATTTCTACTGTTGTCGATTCCTACTTGTTTTGTCCCACTTTTTCTTCTTGTGTTGCATATTTTAACTTAAGATGATCTTTCATGTCTCATTAGTGAGGTTTCTGGTAACCACTGATCCTTGACCTTAGGATAGCAGATGCTTGAGCAATATACAATCGTTCTCTAAGGTTGCTACTATATACAAGTTTTCTTAAACCTTCCAAAGTATCATTACTGCTCAAAAACAAACAAACATTATTCTACTTAAAACTGCGTCTGACAGAAACAGAATGTAAATGTTGTGTCGTCTTTGTTTTAACAAGAATTCTCCAATTTCAAATAAAACAAAACAAAAATATTTTCCTCTTGACTTTATCACTCAGTCTATAAAAACGACTTTTGATAAACTTTTAAATTAACAAAATCCCCCCTGGTTCTTTCCGCTTAAAAACAAGAACGCATCTTAACCCTAGTTCTGCCTTACTTTGGTGAAGGATTCCATATTTTTAATAGATCAATGTATTCAGCTTGTGAGAGAGCTTTTCCACACATTATGATCACAAGTGTTTTCATGTTATCTTTTTCTTATAAAGATAAAATTATCAAATTAATGAAATCATTAATTGCTTACATATACATAACAGGCTTCTGTGCTCGAAATGGTAATTTGGCTCCATTACCCGATGCTTACGTCAGTTTCTTTGTTCTCGAGCATAAAGACAATAAGCGTGTCCAACACGGGTATCGAAACCCGGATTTTAGCGTTATAAACCTCCAGACTGAGGCACTGGGGGGAGGGATTTACGTCTATAAATTAGTGAGTATACATCACGTGCTCCGTGTAACTCGCGAGTTCTAGCACACGTGTAAGGTGATTGTGATGTTTATATTTTTTTAAAAAAAATATCATTTTGGCATTCTTTTTATTTTCAACTGTCGATTAGAGAAATAAGTAATATCTTCCACCCAGTTAATAATACTGGGCTATTAATATCTAGATAATTTAAATTGATAAGGAATTAACAAGAATTCAAAACAATTAATCACGTCTCACACGAAAAGAACAAATGACGTCATTTTGGCGGAAGGATACAGACGGGCTATTTGCTCTAGCTGTTCTAAAATTTTGAGCCGATGATATGAAACTAGAGGGAAAGTGCCTAATGAGCAGCACCAACAGCCAACAAAGTGATACTATTTCCGACTCCTCATATTTAGTATCGTCTCACCCTTCACTTATTTTGATGGAAACACTACACGGTCTAGTCTCTACGAAATTGAACATTCGAATTCACGTGTAAGGATTAAGCACTAAAATCCGGCGTTTAAGTTGTAGAGATACAGAGTTTCTCCCCCCCCCCCACACACACCAACGATAAAACTGATAAGTACTCGCGGTTGAAAAAACAAAACAACAGTTTCTATTCTACATCAAACTCCCCCCTCCCTCCTCCTTCCCACACCGAATGTAATCTCAGTAGGCCATCTCCGGACACAATCTCTGAGCAAAGTACACTGAGGCTCTTATACTGAGAGGGCGAACAAAAGGCCTCTGAATCTATTATGTTCCAGACCAACACTGTACAGATAAAGAAATGCCAATTTCATCTTTCCCTCTTTCATTCGGAGCTGGAAAAAAAAACAATAGGTGAAACATTTTTTGTAGCTTACAACTCTGTTCGCTTTTGTTAGAGACAGGGAAACAAACTGGAGCTCTTGACGAACTTAAATCACTCCCCCCACCACCCTCATCTCAATATTATTTGTTGTTCCAAATCAACAGGGTACAATGGAAAAAATAATAAGTAAAATAAAAGTAGTAATAATGTACTACAAGAAAGAAAACTTGTTTCACACTTTCTGGAGATCAAAAATACATGGCCGCTCTTTGTTTAAATGAAAATCAAAGTTCCAGAGATATATATGTATGTTTTATATTACTGACAAGAATGATAAAGTTTGAAAACATGAGGATAGGTGGCTCGGCGGCAAGACTGGGCTTATTACGCTAAAAAATCAGGTTTAGATACCTGCGGTGGGCAGAGCACAGTGTAGCTCAGTGCTTAACAACAACACGTAAAAACTTGCAGAGCTGTACAGTGAGCTAGCTGCACTGGAACAGAAACCTGAATTTCAGCGTTATTAGCCCTTCAGGTTTACCGCTGAGCCACTGATAACAATAAGTGTAAAAATATATAATTATTTTATATTGTTTACAAGAAAAATACCCGTTTTACATTTAATTAAAAAAAAATGAAAGTGTAAAACATTTGATAAAGGCTGGGCGTTGGCTAGCGTGTCGGACTGTGAATCTGAGAGCTTAGTCACTAAGTGCGTTATAGGTGTTCAGTCAAATCCAACTATTCGATTAGGGCAGCCCAAGCGGGTAGTCTAACAGTTCGAAATTAGGGACACAGATGGTCCTCGTATAGCTGAACTTGTGAAAACTGTTCCAGCAAAAATTATAACAGACTATTTAAAGTTTGGAATATAACGCTTGTGTAAGAAACAACATTTCTTTTGCGGGACTGATTTAATCTATGCAATAAAACAAGCCATTAAGTTAGTAATTATAAAAAACCTACTCAAAGTAAGCTAAGGAATCCAACGAAAAAAATCAATAGCTAGGGTTAAGATAAATGTGATACTGATCAGTGAAATAACTCCAGTAACAGTTTGTTTGTAATTAAGCACAAAGTTACACAATGGGCTATCTGTGCTATGCCCATCACGGGTATCGAAACCCGGATTCTAGCGTTGCAAGTCCGCTGTGCCATTGGGGGGGGCATTCAATAACGTTATCAGGGAATATTACTGTCTTGAGGTGATCTGTATATGATGAAAATATACAGATAACGTTTTTTTTTTTCATTTTCAGAAGACGTACATCACACATACACAGAACTGTTGAACACAACGATACACGACACAATACTTATTCTGTATGTACATCACACATACACAGAACTGTTGAACACAACGATACACGACACAATAAATACAGCCTGGAATAAAGAACAGAAACGAAGATAAAAAACATCTAGACATTTAGAGTGACTTTAGAGTTTAGATTTAGACCCACACCTTTCTAACTAACATGAAATGTGTTATAATGGCTGACAACGTCAGGAGACACACACCTTTCTAACTAACATGATATGTGTTATAATGGCTGACAACGTCAGGAGACCTACACCTTTCTAACTAACATGAT